AGTAGTCGACAAGGCAACAGATTTCTGCAATTTAGATTGCCAAGATACAGCTCCCCCTGCAAATGTAAACACAAACCCTGAAGTAGACTTTCTACTATCAAGGTCACCTGCGATATCCGCATCTGTATAACCTTCAAGAATTGGGTTTCCTTTTCCGAAGCTCAAGGACTTATTTGCACTGCCTTTTAGGTACCTCAAGATCCACTTTACAGCTTCCCAATGATCCTTTCCAGGATTGGAAAGATACCTGCTAACAACTCCAACCGCGTGAGCGATATCTGATCTGGTACAGACCATGGCATACATCAAACTCCCGACTGCTGAGGAGAATGGAACACCTGCCATAGCTTTTTTTTCTTCGTGATTCGTAGGACAACTTCGTTTGCTGAGCTTGAAGTGATTGGCCAACAGTGTATTGACTGGTTTAGCCGATTTCATGTTGAATCTCTCCAGAATCTGATTCACATACCGTTCTTGCGATAACCATAACCTCTTGGATTTTCGGTCTCGCATTATCTGCATGCCCAAAAATTGTTTCGCATGGCCCAAATCCTTCATTTCAAACGACTTTGCTAAATTCTTCTTCAGATCACCAATCAACTTCATATCCTGTCCCACTATCAACATATCATTACATATAACAAAAGAATAATGATTTTATCACATGGAAATTTCTTAACGAACACACAATGATCTGCATCAGTCTTGGTATATCCATTGCTCGCCATAAACGAGTCAAACTTCTTGTACCACTGTCTAGGAGCTTGTTTCAGTCCATACAAGCTCTTCTTCAATCTGCAGACCATGTGCTCCTTTCCAGTTTTCTCAAATCCTTCTGGTTGCTCCATGTAGATTTCTTCATCTAGGTCTCCATGAAGAAATGCAGTCTTCACATCTAGTTATTCAAGCTCTAGATCCAAGCTAGCCACCAATCCGAGTACTACTCGAATAGAGCTCATCTTAACAACCGGAGAGAATATCTCATCAAAGTCTATTCCTCGCTTTTGTCCAAATCCTTTCACGACTAAGCGAGCCTTGTACTTCAACAGCTTGTTACCATCTTTCTTAAGCTTCAACACCCATTTGTTTTTCAAGGCTTTTCTGCCTTCCGGAAGCTTCACAAGCTCATATGTTTCATTTTTCACCAGTGAATCCATTTCTTCTTGCATAGCTTTCATCCACTGGGATTTATCCTTATGAGTCTGTACTTCTTCAAAGCTTTCTGGCTCCCCTTCTTCAGTGATGGTAATATACGTGGAACTAGGGTATTTCGTAGATTGTTGGATCGCTCGATTTGATCTCCTGAGCTGAGGCGAAGCTTCGAGGTCTTCTTGCTCGACACCTTCACCATCACCACATTCTATTGCTGGCTCATCATCAACCCTGAGTTCTCCATCACACTCTCCCCCTGTTGTGGCATCTCCAAGAGGTTTGGCAGGTGAAAGATCCACCTTTCCACTTGGTTCTCTGATTTCTGGTAAAGCAGAATCAGACATAGTTTCTTGCTCATGGAACACTACATCTCTGCTTCTGATAATTTTTCGATTTTCTGGATCCCATAACCTGTAGCCAAATTCCTCATCTCCATAGCCCATAAATATACAAGGAATGGCTTTTTCGTGAAGTTTTCGTCTCTGTTCCTTGCTTACGTGAGCAAAAGCTTTGCATCCAAACACCTTCAAATGAGATTATTTAACATCATGTCCGGACCATACTCTCTCAGGGATATCAAAGCCCAAAGGAAGAGATGGAGATCGGTTGATCAGGTAGCACGCTGTTAGAACAACTTCACCCCATAATGGCTTAGGTAGCTTAGCCATTCTTAACATACACCTCACTTTCTCCCTAATGGTTATGTTGATTCTTTCAGCCACACCATTATGTTGTGGGGTTCCAGGTACAGTCTTCTCATGCCTGATTCCATGCTCGGCACAATAATTCTTGAATTCATGGGAAGTATACTCGCCCCCATTATCTGAGCGAAGACACTTCAAAGGTTTACCAGCCTGTCTCTCCACCATAGCATGAAACCTTTTGAAGTATTGAAAAACTTCACCCTTCGTTCTCAAGAAGTATACCCACAATTTTCGTGAAGCATCATCAATAAACGTCACGAAATATCTGCTACCACCGAGACTCTCCTCTTCCATGGGTTCGCATACATCAGAATACACCATCTCTAAAACATTCTCTTTCAGCTTCGAGGTTTTGCTGAAAGACACTCTATGATGCTTCCCAAAGAGACAATAATCACAAGGATTTAGTTTTGAATCTTTGGCAAATGGGATGAGGGACTTTCTTGCCAAAATTTGCAATTATTTTTCACCAATATGAGCCAGTCTTTTGTGCCACAAATTTGGCGAAGCATCATCTTCGGCTGCATTCAATCCACCCTTGATCAGCTTCACTTGAGTTCTGTATAGTGTAGATCTCACTGTACCTCTAGCAGCTAACAACGATCCTTTGGTAAGTGTAACGCCCCACTTTTATTTGATGAAAGTCAAGGATTTTTCAAAAAGTCAACTTA